GTGCCCAGGTCACCCAGGCGGACGTCTCACATGAAGATGTGTTGAGGATGTCTCGAGCGAGCAACTTGTTTTCACGTGTCCAGTTCGCCCAGGCGGATGCCTAGCCTGAGAATGTGTTGAGGATGTGTTGAGCGAAACGCTCGTTTTCACGTGTCCAGCTCGCTCAGGCGGATGTCTAGCATGAGGATTTTTACAGGATGTCTCGAGCGAACCGCTTGTCCCCAGCACGTTCCGTAGCGCGTCCCCTTGGCACGTCCCGCGGTGCGTCCCCATGGCACGTCCCCTGGCACGTCGCTTGGCGCGTACCTTGAGACGTTTCGCGGTGCGTCCTCCTGGCATGTCCATCTGTCAATTAGCTCTGGGGCAGCTACTATGTGTTCAGGCAGCTCGAGCTTCAAATCCAGATCAGTTCGGTCATGACTCGGATGCCAGGGAGGTCTCGATCCACAACGCTATAGAGTACAACCGTGGCATGGCACATCGCAATTCAGCACATCGCAGCACAGCACAGACTTCGACACGGTACATCAAGACCGATACATTCAGCATTGCAACCTGGCACGGTCCTTGGCACGTTCCGTGGGGCGTCCTTTGGCGAGTCCCCCTGGCACGTCGCGTGGCGCGCCCCTTGGCACATCCCGTGGCACATCCATTGGCACGTTCCGTAGCGCGTCCCCTTGGCACGTCCCGCGGTGCGACCCCATGGCACGTCCCCTGGCACGTCGCCTGGCGCGTCCCTTGGGACGTTTCGTAGCGCGTCCTCCTGGCATGCCCCCCTGTCAATTAGCTCCGGGGTAGCTACGATGTGTTCAGGCAGCTCGAGCTTAAGATCCAGGTACATCAAAATCGATACACTCAGCATCGCAACCTGGCCCGTCACCCAATCAGGTGTCTTTGAAAACGTTGCCATGCGTTACATTTCCATATTCCTTTCCGGGGTCGTGGGTCGATCATGTTCCTGGAAAGGGCCTGAGCCCAGGCTTCTTTTTTAGTTTGATTCCCCCCGGTTTCGACGGCTGTAGGGCCTGCGAAATTGCCTGCGATAAATAACGAGGTCGCGTAGGGCCGGCGAAATGATTGTTGATGTCTCGAGCGAAACATTTGTTGTTCAGAATGTGTTGAGGATGTCTCGAGCGAAACGTTTGTTTTGTATTCTAGATTGTCCTCTCAATTCAGAGGATCTCTCAAATGAAAGATGTTTTTTTTTCACGTGCCCAGGTCTTGAGGATGTCTCGAGCGAGACGCTTGGTTTCACCCGTCCAGGTTGCCCGGGCAGATGTTCAGCATGAGGATGTGTTGAGGATGTCTCGAGCGAGACGCTTGTTTTCATGCGTCCACGTTGCCCAGGCGGATGCCTAGCACGAGGATGTGTTGAGGAGGACTCGATCGAGACGCTTGTTTGCACGTGTCCAGGTTGTCCAGGCGGATGTCTAGCACGAGAATGCGTCGGGAATGTCTTGAACGAAACGCAGGTCGCCCAGGCACAGTACAGCCCTCGACACGGTACATCAAGATCGATGCATTCAGCATTGCAACTTGGCACGTTCCTTGGCACGTTCCGTGGTGCGTCCCGTGGCGAGTCCCCCTGGCACGTCGCGCGGCGCGTCCCCTGGCACGTCCCGTGGCACGTTCTGTAGCGCGCCCCCTTGGCACGTTCCGCGGTGCGCCCCCATGGCACGTCCTCTGGCACGTCGCCTGGCGCGCTTCTTGGGACGTTCCGCGGCGCGTCCTCCTGGCATGCCCCCCTGTCAATTAGCTCTGGGGCAGCTACTATGTGCTCACGCAGATCGAGCTCACGATCCAGATTAGTTCGGTCAGGACTCGGATGCAGAGGAGGACTCGATCCACAATCGCGGCATGGCACATCGCAATTCAGCACATCGCAGCACAGCACAGCCCTCGGCATGGTACATCAATATCGATACACTCAGCATTGCAACCTGGCACGTTCCGTGGGGCGTCCCGCGGCGAGTCCCCCTGGCACGTCGCGCGGCGCGTCCCCTGGCACGTCCGTGGCACGTCCATTGGCACGTTCCGTAGCGCGTGGGCAGCTACGATGTGCTCAGGCAGCTCGAGCTCAAGATCCGGATCAGTTCGGTCAGGATTCGGATGCAAAGGAGAACTAGATCCGCAACGCCATAGAGCACAATCGCGGCATGGCACATCGCGATTCAGCACGGCGCAGCACAATGCAGCCTTCGACACGGTATATCAAGATCGATACACTCATCATTGCATTCGCCCGTTGCTCAATCAGGTGTCTTTGTAACGTTGTTATGCCTTACATTTCTGTATTCCTTTCCGGGTTCGTGGGTCGATCATGTTACATGAAGAGTGACGCGCGTTCGGCTTGGGGATGTATGCGGTGCACTTTGTGCGGTGTAAGGTGTATGATGTAAACTATGCCGTGCAACATACACGGTGCAACCTAGGTGATGCAAGCAATGTGTGGGAACTTGTGTGGCGCAGGCTTGTGATGTACGCTACGCCGTGCAAGCCCTGCGCCACACGCTATATTTTGCAACCTGCGGTGTGTAATCCATTGGTTATGCAGAACTTGAAGTTGTCAACCCCACTGCCCGAGCAATCACCCTACCCTTTCTCCACCCTTAGTTGGCAAAACCCATTCGGCCACGATTGCAGTAGAATATTGACGCTGGTTGGCGCACCTTTGCGGCCTCGCTGGCGCTCGCAAACTCGCGTGCAGAGCGGCTATCCGGTTTGGCACAGCTGCTGCGGCCACGATGGCGCTTGCCGATGGCAGCTTCCAAGCGCGTCTCAGAGGCCGCGTTGACGCTCGGGCATTTCAGTGCGGGTCGCTGACCCCGACGGGCGCGATATCAGGATGCCGTCGGCAACGGTGGCAACGATGATGATGATGATGATGATGATGATGATGATGATGATGATGATGATGATGATGATGATCATGGTTGCGGTGGTGGTCGTGGCGACCGTGACGATGCCGACGGCAAGGCCAATGACAGTGCCGATGTTTGTGACGGCGACGATGGTGATACCCATGTGTCGATGACAAATGTGATTGGCTGATGATGGCGGTATTGACCGCGACTGGCGATGACGATACCGGCGGTGATGCGGTGTCACTGATGAGGGTGATGATGCTGAAGTGCGAGCGCGCAGAAATTCAACAGGTTGGCAGTTCTTGAGTGGGAAAACGCGTGGTTGGTTCACAGGCGTTCGAAGAATTACACCTTGACGTGCCTACACGCGCGCGTGGCGGCGCGCGCGCGTGTGTGATGTGGATTCGCGTGCTGGGCGCATGCTGGACGAACGCGGTTGCACCGCGTGGTGACATGAAAATTCGGGGCATTGGCGGGTTGACCATTCAGGGCTTTCATTTGACGTCGGCGAATGCGCGCGGGCAAAGACTTCCTGCAAGATCTGAGATGCAACACCGAGAGGTTTTTGAGGGCTTACGTTTGACTTGTTTGCTCTAATAGATATTGCGATCGCCAGGATTATGGCATGTACGCGCGTGTGTGGATGTTCTGCGTTTCATCACACAACGATTATTGACACACGTTCACATGGGATGGACGAGTGCGCGCGCATGGTATACTTTCACAAAGATGAGAGACGGGCGGTAACACCATTGCTGGAATGAGATGCCTTCGCCTTGAGGATCACACGAAGAATGCGACACAATCATAGGTAGTCCGCCGTGTCCTGGGGGGTGGGGGGCGTGTACAGACAAGCCCCCCCGCCTGAGACTCCTTGACACTTTCAAGCTTCGAAAGCACAAGGTTGATGACAGAAACAGGGCTCGAATGCCCCGCTCGGAGTACTAACGTGATCTGTGGGCCTCATGTGATGGGGGGGAACTCCCGCGTAAGATTTCAGCGCAGCAACTCGCAGATAAGGCACCCGCATGATCCGTGTGCCCCATGGGGAGGGGGCTCCCGCCTGAGATTCCGTAGCCATGAACTCACGGACGAGGCCTCCGCCTGAGACGTCCTCAAGATTCAAGCCTCGAGGGGCCAACAGTGACGACACTCACACGGTTCGAGAGACCCGCTCGGATTGCTAACACTTGGTACCGCTCGGATGTGTGCACTTTTTCCCGGCGGGGATTATTAAGGAGCATCCTGGATCATCCTGCCAAAAACACCCACGCGCGAAACCGAAAAGAAAAAACAGGGAAAGGACGTCCGAGCGATGGCCAAAACATGATCTGCTGGTCCCGGAGGGAGGGGGCTTCTGCCCGAGACCTGCTCACCATTCACAGGTCGAAGCTCCCGCTCGAGACCTTCTTCCGCATCACGATATGCGTGTGCGGGTGAAGTGGTTCGTGTGCGCGTGTTTGTGTGTGTGTGCGATGATGGTGGTGATGTTGCTGACAATGACGATGGCGATGGCGATGTCGATGATGATAGTGATGAGGATGAGGATAAGGATTAGGATGCTGCTGATGACGACGATGCTGGTGATGCAGATGATGGTGATGATGATGATGACGGTGATGATGATGCTGATGATGACGATGATGATGGTGATGATGAGGGCTTTTTTGATGATGTTGATGATGATTGTGAAGAAGCAGAGCAGGAGGAGGATATGCTGATGAAACTGGTGATGTTGATGAAACTGGTGATGATGATGATGATGATGATGATGATGATGATGATGATGATGGCGATGAAGATGATGGTGGTGATGGCGACGGTGACGATGACTATGCTGATTGAACTGAGGAGATGAGACGAATAATATCATTTATAATACGACTAATCGTATTATGCTGATGCAGGGGATGATGATTATGATGGTGGTGGTGGTGGTGACGATGATGATGATGGTGATAACGATGGTGTGTGATGGTAGATGATCGATGATGGTGATGATGGTGATGACAGCGATGATGATGCTGGTGATGGTGATGGCGATGATGACACGTGTGCGTTCCTGTTCCTGCGCGGGGGTGTCCAGAAGAAGCAAGAAGCCCACTTAGGATGTGGGGAATGATCAAATCCCGCTAGGCAGACGTGCCGCAGTCGCTGGCGCAGCTCCGCTCTGCCCCGTGGCTCCCGGCGAGGGCGAAGAGCGTGCTCGCGTCCTTCCTGGAGATGGGCGCTGGCGCCGGGTACGATGCCCCGCCGGAGGCCAACGCTTACGAGTTCCAGTCGGGCGGTCAGGGGCCAACGCGTCCGAGGTTCGAGGTTTTCGGGCATGGTCGTCGGTGGTCGGCGGCCTTCCAGCCTCGGGAAGCGCTCCAGCAGCTGCGGCTCGCCGAGGCCGTTCCGGGGGTGCCCGGGTCGTCCCGAGCGGCCGCCAGAGACCCGAGTCATGACCTGAAGCCGAGACCGGTCACCGTTACCATGTTGGGTACATCGGCTCACGGTGAGATGCATCGACCCAAAATCGCTCCATCATCACCGATAGGGGCCCAATTTACCTTTCACGCCCAGGAGCGCTCGAGTTGTCCATCGGGGGCCTATTGTCGATCTATCGGCGATGCATCGCCGATTCCAGATTGATATCTCCCCCCGGGCTCAAGCTTCTTTGGCTCAAGACGGATCCGTTCTTCGTCAGAGTCTCACTCAAATCTCCCATTATCATTCTCACATGCCTTGTCGCTCATTGCTTTTGCTGGTGATCCCAATGGCGCAGAAACGTTCTGACATCGGCACGCCGGTCGGAGGTGAGCGCAAACAGGGCCGCTACCAGTCCCCTTTGAACAGGATGGATGGCGACGATGATGAGGAGGGGAAGGCCGAGGAGGTGGAGGAGGACGTGAAGGGCATGTTCCGCAGCATGATGGAGATGGTGAAAAGCGTGAAGAGTCAATTCGGGAGGGTGGAGGCCATTGAAGGGCACGCATAGGTGACGGCGGACATGGCAGCGGCAGAGGAAGCCGGGAAGAAGGTGGAGGAACTCAGGACGACCGTCGAGGACCTGAAGGAGACGGCAGTGAAGAAGGACAACGTCCAGTCAGTGGTCGAAGAGGTGGTCAACGAGAAGATCTGGAAGACGACAGATTTCCAGGGGGCTTCGGAGAACATCCTGGAGGCGAAGGACTAAATCGCAGATGAGTTGTCCAAGACGGGCCTGAAAGCGCCAGACGAGATGTACCACAAGGGGGACGAGTTCAAAGGCATCCTCTTCGCACGGTTCGTCGACGGGGGGACCATGGACAATGCCGCGACCTCCATCAGGGACCAGCGCTTCGAATTCAGAGGACATTTCGTGTGGTGCGGCCCAGACCGCTCCCTCCAAGAACGTGTTACCTTGGGTTCCTTGCTGGGCCTCGAAAGGATGTTGGTCGGCGCCGGCTGGGAGTACAGCAAGAAGGCTGCCAAGGTGGAGGAGGAGGACATGGTTATCACTGTTGCGGGCACGAGGGTCTCGCAAGCCACGGTGGAGGGCTAGGGGATTGTCATCAAGTGGTTGGCGGACGACTGGAAAAACTGGGGCGATTTCGCCAAAGCGAAGGAGTTCGAAGGCCTCATTTCGAAAGTGGGCGAGCGCCTCACGAACGTGGGCGAAGGCAAGCCCCCCATGTGACGGGGCCCAGGGTGCGTCGGGACAGCTTCGCCCCGTGATCGTCGCGAAGGGGACAGACCAGGACCTCTGGAGAGGAAGCCCGTGGGCAACCGCGGTCGACTCCTACGAGTTAGTGCTTGGAACGTCCAGGGCCTCACAGAGGAAAACGTAGGTTGCATGCAGGCGCACATGCGGATCTTTAAGCTCGACGTGTTGTGTATTCAGGAAGCGTGGAAACAACATTCGGAGAGCTACAGCGATGAACATTCCCGGAAAGGGCATGGGCCCAGGGTGTTGTTTTAATTGTTCCCCCTGGCCCCGACGGCTGTAGGGCCGGCGAAATTATTCTGCTGGAAATGACGAGGTCGCGTGAGGTCGGCGAATGAAACAGTTGAGGATGTCCCTGGCGAAGCGGCTGTTGTATATCAGTTTGTTGAGGATGTCTCAGGCGAAACGCTAGTTTTGCAGAGTTGGGGGATGTCTCGAGCGGGGGCCTCGTGGGGGGCCAGAATTCAAAGGATGTCTCAAGCGAAATGCTTGTTTTCACGCGCCCAGGTCGGCCAGGGGGGGTTCTAACACGGTTCTCCCTCGCTGGCGCCCCAGACGACCGCGTGTTGGATATTCCCCCTGGGTGGGCTGGGACCATGAGTTTTTACGTGCGCAGGCCACCCAGCGGTGTATCTAACATGGTTGCCCAGAGTTGTCACCACGTGATTTTCGTGTCCAGGCCACCCACGGCGGTATCTAACATGGTTGTCCCGAGCAACGACCGCGTGTTTAACATGTGCAGGTCACCCAGGGGTGTATCTAACATGGTTGCCCACAGCTAGAACCACATGGTTTTACGTGTCCAGGCCACCCACGGGGATACAGAACATGATTGCCCCGAATTGGAACCACGTCTTTTTACGTGTCCAGGCCGCCCAGAAGGATGGCGTCGGGCCCAACGCCGAATTACCAGGAAACGCGCAGGGGGCCGAAAACCGATACCCGAACACAGATCCCAATACAGAAAAGTTATGGTTTCCCGGGCTGGAACCATGCGTTTTTTCCCAACCATCCTGTGGTGTTGGGTCTTCGTTTTGAAGAAACGGTCCCCGCGTTCTCCCCTCCTCCTCCTCTGCCCCCTCCTCCCTCCTCCCCCTCTGCGTCAGCCACACCCACTTCGGCACACCCCTCACACGCTTCGTGGCCGCACAGGGAGCTCCACCGAAGGCCCTAATGGCTGCGTTCGCATGGCGGCACCGCGCGCATTTCGGCACACCCCTCACACCTTTCGTGGCCCCATAGGGAGCTCCACCGAGGGCCCCCGTGGCTGCGTTCGCATGGCGGCACCGCACCCATGTCGGCACACCCCTCACACGCTTCGTGGCCCCATAGGGCGCTCCACCGAAGGCTCCAGTGGTTGCGTTCGCATGGCGGCACCGCGCCCATTTCGGCACACCCCTCACAAGTTTCGTGGCCCCATAGGGAGCTCCACCGGAGGCCCCAATGGCTGCGTTCGCATGGTGGCACCGCACCCATTTCGGCACACCCCTCACACGTTTCGTGGCCCCATAGGGAGCTCCACCGAGGGTTCAGTGGCTGCGTTCGCATGGCGGCACCGCGATTTCGGCACACCCCTCACACGTTTCGTGGCCCCATAGGGAGCTCCACCGGGGCCCCATGGCTGCGTTCGCATGGTGGCACCGCACCCATTTCGGCACACCCCTCACACGTTTCGTGGCCCCATAGGGAGCTCCACCGAGGTTCCAGTGGCTGCGTTCGCATGGCGGCACCGCGCCCATTTCGGCACACCCCTCACACGCTTCGTGGCCGCATAGGGAGCTCCACCGAAGGCCCTAATGGCTGCGTTCGCATGGTGGCATCGCACCGGCACACCCCTCACACGTTTCGTGGCCGCATAGGGAGCTCCACCGGAGGCCCCAGTGGCTGCGTTCGCATGGCGGCACCGCACCAATTTCGGCACACCCCTCACACGCTTCGTGGCCCCATAGGGGGCTCCACCGAGGGCCCCAGTGGCTGCGTTCGCATGGCGGCACCGCACCCATTTCGGCACACCCCTCACACGTTTCGTGGCCCCATAGGAAGCTCACCGAAGGCCCCAGTGGCTGCGTTCGCATGGCGGCACCGCACCCATTTCGGCACACCCCTCACACGTTTCGTGGCCCATAGGGAGCTCCACCGAGGGGCCCCGTGGCTGCGTTCGCATGGCGGCACCGCATTCATGTCGGCACACCCCTCACTCGTTTCGTGGCCCCATAGGGAGCTCCACCGAGGGCTCCAGTGGCTGCGTTCGCATGGCGGCACCGCGCCCATTTCGGCACACCCCTCACACGTTTCGTGGCCCCATAGGGAGCTCCACCGAGGGCCCCCGTGGCTGCGTTCGCATGGCGGCACCGCGCCTACTTCGGCACACCCCTCACACGTTTCGTGGCTTCAAAGGAGGTCCACCGAGGGCTCCAATGGCTGCGTTCGCATGGCGGCACCGCGCCCATTTCGGCACAACCCTCACACGTTTCGTGGCCCCATAGGGAGCTCCACCGAGGGCTCCAGCGGCTGCGTTCGCATGGCGGCACCGCACCCATTTCGGCACACCCCTCACACGTTTCGTGGCCCCATAAGGAGCTCCACCGAGGGCCCCAGTGGCTGCGTTCGCATGGCGGCACCGCGCCCATTTCGGCACACCCCTCACACGTTTCGTGGCCCCATAGGGAGCTCCACCGGAGGCCCCAGTTGCTGCGTTCGCATGGCGGCACCGCACCAATTTCGGCACACCCCTCACACGCTTCGTGGCCCCATAGGGAGCTCCACCGAGGCACCTCGCACACGTTTTGTGGCCCCTTAGGGAGTTCCCTCTCATTCGTTCAAGCTGCTTTGCGGTACTCGTAACTGCATATGGTTGGGTCCATCGCCAGGAGAATTCGACGCCCAGGCCACCCACGGGGATACAGAACATGGTTGCCCCGAGCTGGAACCACGTGGTTTTATTCGTCCAGGCTGCCCCCAGGGGGTATCTGACATGGTTGCCCCGGGCTGGAACCGCGTGTTTGTATGTGCCCAGGCCACCCAGGGGGAGATTTAACATGGTTGCCCCGAGCTGGAACCACGTGTTTGTACGTGTCTAAGAGGCCACCCAATGGGGGTATCTAACATGAGTGTTGTGAGCACGGGCCACGTGTTTTAACGTGTCCAGGCTACCCTGGGGTGTATATAACATGGTTTCCTGAGCTGGCGCCACGTGTTTTTACTCGCCCAGGCCATGCAGGGGGATCTATAACATGGCTGTCCCGAGCAAGGGCCACGTGTTTTAACGTTCCGAAGCGCGTCAGTTTGGCACGTCCCGCGGTGCGTCCCTATGACACGTCCCCTGGCACGTCGTTTGGCGCGTCCTTTGGGACGTTCTGCGGCGCGTCCTCTTCGCACGTCCCCCTGCCAAATAGCTTGGGGCAGTTACTATGTGCCCAGGCAGCTCGAGCTTCAGATCCATATCAGTTTGGTCAGGGCTCGGATACAAAGGAGGACTCGGCCCACAACGCTATAGAGCACAATCCTTGCATGTCACATCGCAATTCAGCACGACGCAGCACAGCACAGCCTTCGGCACCGTACATCAAATTCGATACACTCAGCATTGCAACCTGGCACGTTCCGTGGCGCGTCCCGTGGCGAGCCCCCCATGGCACGTCGCACGGCGTGTCCCGTGGCACGTCCCGCGGCACGTCCATTTGCACGTTCCGTGGCGCGTCCTTTTGGCACGTCCCGCGGTGCGTCCCCATGGCACGTCCTCTGGCACGTCGTTTGGCGCGTCCCTTGGGACGTTCCGCGGCGCGTCCTCTTCGCATGTCCCCCTGCCAAGTAGCCTTGGGGCAGCTACTGTGTGCCCAGGCAGCTCGAGCTTCAGATCCATATCAGTTTGGTCAGGGCTCGGATGCAAAGGAGGACTCGATCCACAGCGCTATCGAGCACAATCCTGGCATGGCACATCGCAATTCAGCACGGCACAGCACAGCACTGCCTTGGGCACGGTACATCAAGCTCGATACATTGAGCATTGCATGTGCCCGTCACCCAATCAGGTGTTTCTGAAGCGGCTCCACATTTCGATATTATTTTTTGGGTTTGTCGATCGATCTTGTTTGTTGATCATTTTATTTTGGGTGTGGGTCAGGGCGAGCACGAGTTGGATTATAGTTGCACCGTGGGCCCGAAAAGGGGCCGAGGTTTCTTGCAGCACGCTGAGGACAGCATACGTAAGATGACCGTGGAGGGCGGCACGATCGGCGTCTTGTCGGCACATGCCCCTCACAACGACAAACCGCCAGAGGAGAAATGTACACTGTACGAAAATATAAGCGACGTCTTCAACAGGTGCTCAGTGAACGGCCAGAGGTTTTTCATGGGTGATCTGAACGCACGCTTGGGGCGACGGCGGCCGGGGGAGGAGGAAGTGATTGGGGACCGCGCCTGGGACTGTGAAGCGCATGCGTAGGTGGGGTGGAACCTCCAAACCGAGACCTGCTTATGCTGTTCTGCTTCGAGAGCGGCTTCGCCATCGCCAACACCTACAAAAGCTGCGCGCCGAAAGAGAGGGCAACGTTCGCGGAGAGCGGCGCGGGCCACCAGAGCGAGGTCACCGATAAGACACATGCCATGCTGGATGTGGCTTTGGTCGAACCGCATTTCTGGTTGATGCCAAATCAGTGCTAAGCCACCGGGAAGCGGGATTGTAAACCAACCATTTATCTATTTCGTGTTGAATACAATGCAATGCAGAACGTGGCAACGAACCCTGCCCGAAGAAACAGGACGGACGCGCGTTGAAGACCAGCCGTGGCGCAACAGTTCGTCAGCACGCTCTTGGAGAACATGGAAATGTCACAAGACAACGAGTCCGTAGAGGAGGGTTGGGCTACATTTGCGGGCGAGTTCCGTGCCAGTGAGCAGGATGTGCCAGATCTGATGTCGAGCAGCCGGCGCCCGTGGATCAGCCAGTGCACGTTGGACTTGATCGATCAGAGGTCGCTGGCGCGATCGGAGGGCAACTCCGCCGAGCAGAAAGACCTCCATCGGCAGGTGCGAACAGCGGCCAAGGCCGACAAAACAAAATGGACGGACGATTGCATCACTTCAGGATCGTGGGGCGACCTTCAGATCGTCAGAAAGCCGCGAAGGCCGACGCATTCGAGCCTGCGCAACGCAAGTGGTGCGCTCACAGCAATCGATGAAAAGGCAGACGCCATGGCTGAACGCTTAGAGAGCATCCACAGGCGAGTACGTCCAGCCAACATCCTCGACGCCCCCGCTTTGGGTCCCAATCTCCGGGTCAACGACGGCGCCTAATCTGAAAGCGAGGTCAAATCCGATATATAGCTCTTGCGGAACAGTAGGGCAGCGGGATGCGAAGACATCCCTGCTGAGTTTTGGAAGGCTCTGACTAGGAACAGCGAGTGCTTCGCGCAAATCACGCAATTCATGACTAGCTGTTGGATGAAAATTGAAACGCCCAGAGACTGGCATAAGGCGTTGGCCAGCCATATATAAGGAGGGAAACCCAAACCTGCCCGAGGTCGTTCGCCCTATTTGCTTGCTAAGCCTCGGTTGCAAAATATACGCTTCCTTGGTGAAGATTCGGCTCCTCGAAGCGGGCGCTGACCAGCGTCTTTCAAGATATCAATTTGGTTTCTGGCGGGGTCGCAGCACACAGGGGTTTATTTGATTGTGGGGAGACAGATCGAGGCAGCGTGGGCTGCAAAGAATGGCCACGCGTACATTCTGGCTTTCGATTGGAAGCAGGCCTTCGACTCCGTGGGCGCAAAAGCGATGCTCGCTGCCCTGGAAAGATTTCGCCTCCCCGACCAGATCCGGGACGTGATCGCCGACATGTACGCTGGCCGCGCTTTCGAGGCGAGAGACGCCGGCGGGCTCTCGCAGGAACGTGGGCAAAAGTCCGGAGTCTCGCAGGGGTGCCCCCTTTCACTCTTGCTCTGCGTCATGGTGCTGACAGTCGTCATGAGAGACGCCGAGGGCCTTCTGGGGCAGCCGGAGGCGTCGCGCGTCGGCCAGCGGGCGTATGCCGACGACACACTCCTCATGGCTCGGACAGCAGAGGATATGCACAAGTGGCTGCAGGCAGCGCAGGAGGCTGCCGGCAGTGTCGGGCTAGAGCTGCGCTGGGAGAAGCTCCAGCTCCTGCGCATTTGGTACGAAGGCGACGTCACGACGCCAGCGGGCGACGTAATCGAAGCCGCGGAGATGCTGTCGTATTTCGGAACCGCCATCGGCAACGATGGAAAAGTGGAAGGACAGCAGACTAGCTAGACGACTCGGGGCTGCTTTCTCATCCTTCTCGAATCTCCGGAAGGAATGGGACCATACAAGCATTGGCGAAACTCTTGAGTTGGAATTGTTTAACGCGACAGTCGTGCCTAAGCTTCTCTACATCATGAGCGCGTTGTGCGTCAACGCGGCGGCGAGGCGCCACCTCGACGGAGCGCGCTGCCAGATGCTCAGAATGTTAGGTGGCGTCAAACACCCAATATTATCGCATGTGTCAAACGAGGCAATCCGCCAACGGACGGGCCAGGGTCCGCTCTCCAAAAGCCTTGTGCGACACCTATTACTGATGTTCGGCAAAGTAGCGGGGGGACAAGTGGGCGACCCGCGGAGGGACTCAGCCTTCGCCCCTGGTCCGTGGCAGCACCTGACAGACAGATGCGTCCGCAAGTGTGGGCGGCCACGGTTGGCATGGGCGAAATATTTCACCCGCGCGTCTTTCGAGTCGCTGGTGGAAGTCGCACATGGGAAGATCTCATTCAGGACGAGCAGACTTGGAGAGAATATATGAACGCGGCATGCGCCCCCTAACGGGTTGGCATCGGCGCGCGCACTTTCCTTCCCCTTTTCCGCGTGTCCCCGGTCGTCCCCCTTGTCGTTCGTCCTTTTTTCGCTCGCTCCGCCTCGCCTCGCGCCCGCGCTCGTCGTGGGTCCCTCCCTCCCTTCGTGCGTCCTCCTCTCTGCGTTGTGTGTGAATACATCCATCATGTATAGCGCCTGCCGACGCGCCTTTCGACGTGCGGCTTCTGTTCGTCTGTCGCCTGAGCCAGTCCCCTCCTACAGTTCCCCTCTCAGGCGGGGTGGTGGCGATGCTGGAGAAGCTGCGCCACAAGTTCCAGGACCAGCTCCTCGACCTGCAGAAGGCCGAGATGAACGCCAAGTCAAATTTCGAGCTGCTGGCGCAGGGGCTCGAGGACAACATCGAGTACGACACTGGGAGCTCCAAGGCCAAGACCGCCCGCAGGGCCGGAAGGCTCGAGGACGCCGCCAAGGCCAAAGGCGACTTGGAGGTGACGACGAAGACCAAGGCCGACGACGAGAAGATCCTCCTCGACACCAACACCGAGTGCGACGCGAAGTCGAAGGAGTTCGAGGAGAACCAGGTGCTGTACAGGGAGGAGAACAAGGGGGGGAGGAGGACCATGTTCGACTGCTGAGGAGGAGGAGATTGGCACGCGCAGACATTATAGCGTTGTACTCACGAGACCGTGTGGGACTACGTGTGGGACCGGCTGGTGCCAGAAATCCCGCCAGATTTTCGAGCTTCGATCCTGTTTCCGCTCCTCCTCCCCCCCTTCCTTCTTCTCCCCCCCTCCTCCTCCTTCTCCACATCCTCCTCCTCCTTTTCCTCCTCTGTCCCTCTCCGTTATTATCCTTCTCGTCCCTCCATCCCCTATCACACCTTTGCCCTCTCTCCATCCCCTTCTTCTTCCCCAGTCGACCTCGAACCAGGTCCTGCGCAAGGAGGAGCTCGAGGCGATCGCAAAGGCGCACGAGATCCTGGCAAGCCCAGAGGTCAGTGGCAACGCGGCGAAGTACCTGCCCAAGCTGGTCCAGAAGGCCGTCGCGCTGGCGCAGCTGGGCAGCAAGGCCAACTCGGACGGCGACAGCCGCAAGAGGGCCGCCGCGTACCTGCAGCAGAAGGCCAAGAAGTTGGGCAGTCAGTACCTGTCCATGATGGCCCTCCGGGTGACAGAGGATCCGTTTGGCAAGGTCAAGAAGATCCAGCCGCCTGCGGCAGACCCCGCCGCCATGGCAGCGCAGGAGCGCGGCATGGTGGATGTCGAGTTCAAGGCCTTGTCCGCCCCAGTGCCCGCCAGAACTGGCGCAGGTCTACAGCATCCCCCCTCCCTGTTCGCAGCCTGGCCCTCCTCCTCGCTTATCCTCCCCCCTCCCCCCCTTACCCCCTTGCTTATCCTCCCCCCTCCCCCTTACTTATCCTCCCCCTTACTTATCCTCCTTACTTATCCTCCCCCCTTACTTATCCTTCCCCCCTTACTTACCCTCCCTCCTCCCCCTTACTTATCCTCCCCCCTCCCCCCATTCCCTCCTCTCCCCTCTCCCCTCCTCGGGGGCACCCTACGGGCTTGATCGGGGGGGGGTGGCCCTGGGCCCTTCCATGGGGGTGGCCTCCCCGGGTATGTGTGTGTGTGCTATCTATAGAGGCCCCATCCGGCGTCTCGGGGCCGCGCTGGGCGCGATGTTTGACCACAGAGCCCTCTCGGAAGTGGCATGGCCACCGGCGAAGATAGCCGCGTTTCGCGCTGGGGGCACCAGGGATCGGAGGAGGAAAGAGTACCGATCCAGCGGCTCGTCCTGGAGAGCTCTGGTCGCCACGGCTGAATTCCTCGTCGAAATCCTGGTCAGAACGCACCCAGGGAGAGGGCCAGGGAGTTGGGGTACCGGCACCTTTTTTGTCATCCCCACGCTGTCGTCGGACCCCGGTTCGGGGACCCCCAAGCGGCGCTGAGAGGCCACACCGTGTCCCGAGTCGGGGGTTCGGGGTGGCCGTGCGGTATTTGAACTTCGGCCGTTCTCCGAGGGCGTCTCTCCGGCGACGGGGGGCCTCCAGGGCCCCAGAGATCGTGTGGTGACGGACCCTGCGGCGAGGTCTCCGGGTGTCCCGGGGTCACCGCACAGTTTGTCATCGCACCGTCTTGGGACCCCCAATTGGCGCGTCGCGGCCTCGGCTGGACAGCTGCCCTTCTCAAAGGTGGCCTCTCGAGGGCGCGAAGATGATCGCGCGCTCCGCATCGTTGGGCGCGATGCGCAGAGTTAGGCGACCCAGATCCATTTAGGAACGTCTGGGCGGGTCCTGCTGCTCTCTTGGCGCCCTCTCCTTGGGCCGTCGTGCGGGATTCTGAGGCGGCTCTGGGGCTGCCTCGGGGCACTCTCGGGGCCGCCTAGGGCCGCCTTGGGGGGTTCTTGGGACTCCCTGGAGTTTTCCCTAGGCGACCTGAAGCCTAACAGCCGCGGAACCGGCAGGAAAGCAGTTCCTGGCGGGGAGGTCGATGTGTTGTGTCGCTGGAGGCCTCTTTCGGCATCTCATCTCACTCGTGTATGCTTATTGGTTCTTGGTGCCTCTTGGGGCACCTTGGGGAGATAGCTGTTGCGGCCTGATGTTCGTTTTGGGAATATACAAGGGCGCCTTGCAGTCGTTGTGGGGCTGTCTTTGTCCGTCTTGGTGCCGTCTGGAGGGCGAAAAGGGTACCAGAAAACAAACCAAAAGGGCGATCATGGCGGTTCGGTGTGGCAGCAGAAGTTCCAGAAACGCTACCCGACAAGTGACACGCATTCTAGCACGCCGCAACGTGCTGAAGGCATGGTGGCGGATGATCAAGGATCTGATCGTTAAGCTCATGGAGACGGCCAACGCGGAGGCAGATCACAACGCATTCTGCAGCACCGAGCTGGCCACCAACAAGCAGACTCGCGAGAATAAGGCCGCGAAGGCCGAGGACCTGGCGGCAACCGCCGACAAGCTCACCGCCGATATCGCGCTGCTCGCCGAGGAGATCACCAAGCTGGCCGACGACATCGCCAAGATCATGGCGGAGCAGGCGGAGGCTACCAAGCTCCGCAGCGATGAGAAGGCCGTCAACGCTCAGACCGTGGCGGACGCCAAGGACGGCCAGGAGGCGGTCGAGCGGGCGATTAAGATCTTGCGTGAGTTCTACGCCAAGGCGGACAGCTCCTTCGTGCAGGAGCCGTATAAGGGCATGCAGGACGTGAAGGGCGGCGTCCTGGGCATGCTCGAGGTGTGCCTGTCCGACTTCGCCCGCCTGGAGACGGAGACCTCCATGGCGGAGGAGGAGGCGCAGAGCAGCTACGAGAAGTTCATGGCCGAGTCGACGGAGTCGAAGGAGGTTAAGGAGGTGGCGAAGGAGCACAAGGAGGGCAACAGGGCGGACGCCGAGGCCGACCTGCGCGCCACGAAGAAGGAGCTGTCCCTGACGCAGGAGGAGCTGGACAAGGCGCTGGAGTACTACGGGGTGCTCAAGGCCGACTGCCTGGACACGGGGCTCAGCTACCAGGACAGGGCCCGCTCCGATGCGATCCACCCGACTCGATCTTGAGTCCGACCAGCTCGGCACGACTCGGTTCCGATGCTCTGGCGATCCGATGCGGCCAGACGCCTGCATGACGTTGTCGTGCATCCCGGTGCAGCCGATCCGATTGGGCTTTGATTCCGTGCTGGTGCAACCCGATCCGTCGCAACTGTTGCTTCGATCCGACTTCCCGACTCTATGGGGATTGATCCTTCCTGTGCCTCCCACGTGGGGTCCGAGCACACGGGGTCGGAGGATCGCGCCGCAATGCTGCGCGAGCTCCTGGCCCCCTTGCCTCGGGCCTCACTTGGGAGGCGGCCGGCACGCCAGGAGCGCGTGAAGGGGCGCGAGGAGGAGATCCAGAGCCTGCAGGAGGCCCTGCGAATCCTGCAGGGCGAGGACATCGCGTGAGCCGCCCCCGCGCCACGGGCGTAGGGCTGACACAGCTCACGCCTCCACTCCTCCTCCTCCTCCTCCTCCTCCTCCTCCTCCTCCTCCTTCTTCTCCTCCTCCTCCTCCTCCTCCCTCCTCCTCCTCCTCCTCCTCCTCCTCCTCCCCCCTCCTCCTCCCTCCTCCCTCCTCCCTCCTCCTCCTCCTCCTCCTCCTCCTCCTCCTCCTCCTCCTCCTCTCTCCTCCTCCTCCTCCCCTCCTCCTCCCTCCTCCCTCCTCCCTCCTCCCTCCTCCCTCCTCCCTCCTCACTCCTCCCTCCTCCCCCTTCCTCCTCCTACTCCTCCCCCCTCCTCCTCTTCCTCCTCCCTCTTCCTCCCCCTCCTCCTCCTCCTCCGTCCTCCTCCTCCTCCTCGTCGTCCTCCTCCTCCTCCCTCCTCCCTCCTCCCTCCTCCCTCCTCCCTCCTCCTCCCCCTCATCTTCCCTTTCCTCCTCCTCCCTCCTCCTCCTCTTTCTCCTCTTTCTCCTCCGCCTCCTCCTCCTCCGGCCGATTCGATTCGGTCTCATGCACCTCTCCCCTCATACCACAACGCATGCGTTTGTGTCAGTACGCGCATTATGCGAAGACCATCCAGTCGATCGTTCATTGATCTACTCTTCTTATGTATGCCGCAATGTACCCAAGAAAGCACTAACAACTAACAGCAGAGATGCCCCCAGAAGAGGACGAACTCCTAGCCAAGGCGCGGATCCATAAGCCGAATTTTCCACACCCAGGAGCGTCCGGATGATATTTCGACCACTTCATCTTCTGAGCTACCATAGTTTACGATTCCAGGCGGTGCCCGCCAGCCTTGCCACGTGCTTTGTGCAGACGCCGTCTCCAAGCTACGTGTGGCGTGATATCCTCATGGGTCTTGGCATGCGCGCTGCGCGCACCTCCTCCCCCTCCTCCGCGGGTTGAGTTTGGTGCGCTCGTGCTCCTCCTGTGCCCTCTCTCCCTCCTGCTCCTGTTCCTTTCCACCTCCTTCTGAATCCTCCCCTCTTCTCCCCCCCATGCTGCCCTCCCCCTCCTCGGGTTTGGTGCGCTCGTGCTCCTCCTGTGTCCTCTCTCCCTCCTGCTCCTGTTCCCCTCCTCCTCCTCCGTGCCCTCCCCTCCCCTTCCCCATGCTGCTCTTCCCTCTCTTCTCCTGCTCGCTGCTGTCTCCTCTGCCTGCTCCCCTCCGCTCCTCCTCCCCACCTTGAGCAAGGGCTTCTGGAGCAGGAGGGGCACATGGCAAAGGAGGAGGAGGATGAGGAGGAGGAGGAGGAGGAGGAGGAGGAGGAGGAGGAGGAGGAGGAGGGAGGAGGAGGAGGAGGAGAAGGAGGAAGAGGAGGAGGAGGAGGAGGGGAAGGAGGGGGAGGAGGGGGAGGGGGACGAAGGAGGAGGAGGAGGAGGAGGAGGAGGAAAAGGAGGAGGAGGAGGAAAAGGAGGAGGAGGAGGTGGAGGAGGAGGAGGAGGTGGTGAGTGAGTGCCTCAGGAGCAGGCGGGGGAAGGGGGAGCGGCAAAGGGCAGACGAGCAGGAGGGGGGACGGGCAGAGGGCTCGGGACCCTCCTCGCCTCGACGCCCTCGCCGCCCGCTGCCCGCCCCAGGCGTCCTCCGACGGGGCTCGTTCTGCCCGCGGCGCCCAGGAGGAGGAGGAGGAGGAGGAGGAGGAGGAGGAGGAGGCGATCAAGTCGGGCACGTCCCCCTGCAGGAGGAACGCTCAAGAGTAAGAACAAAACGTCTCGTGGCGACTTCTGGTGCACCTTTGAGCTGTTGAACACTTTTTTGGGGATCCGTGTCAGAATGTTCTTCCGAAATCCGCCTGGAGGAGGACATGGCCCGGCGACGGGCCCGGGGGGCCGAAGGGAAGACGCAGACGCGGGGATGGAGCAGGTCGTGGGGGCGACGCCACAGAACGAACCCAGAGCCCCTCGAGTCACGAGAAAATCGCGACGGTAGGTGGTTGGCAATTTTCGGCGGCCCCTGCCAGGCCTGTGGGACTTCCCAAAAAACGACCCAGGATGAACCACCGGACCCGGGGAATGGGTCGAGCTTTCTTCAGGAGGGGAAAAAACACACAGACACAATTAATTGGCGATTCCTTCAAAATATGGGAAAATATGGGCAGTGGGGGGGAAGACAGAAACCGAGAAAATATGGGGAAATATAGGGGATATTCTTATTTGTGTGTATTTACTTGTGTGTCCCAGTTCCCCTTCATTTCTGGGGGTCGACGCTATGAAAAACTCATGTCGTGGGTCTGGGCCGACATTGGCCGCGCAGGCTGCCCGCGCAGGGCCGCGCGCGAGCGCCCCCGTTGCCGGTGCGGCGTGCCGCGCCGTGGCGGCCCGCGGAACCCACCGCGCAGGGGCGCCACTGTGTCATCTCGCGCAAGAGCTCTGTTTCGTTCGTCGCTGACGTGCCCTTCTTCCTTAGTGGGCCCTGGAAACGACAGGGCCGTTTTTTTACCGGTTCCGTTTTGCCGTTCTTTTGCCGGTTCCGACTCCGTTTTTTACCGGTTCCGTCGCCGTTTTTTGACCGGTTCCGGCTCCGGTTCCAATCCTGGAGCAGTGTTTTTTGCCGTCTCCAGTCGCCGTTTTTTTTGCCGTTTCCATTTTCAAGGGGCATTTTTGGAAACGGTTAAAAAACGGCCCTGCCGTTTCCGGGGCCCACAAAGCCTTCTTCGCAAACTGGAACAGATACATTACCAGTGGCGGGTTGCTTTTTCAATCCCACGACTCTGTAAGGGTCAGGGACGACGCCGGGGTGGTGTGGTGTATACTCTTCCCCCGTTTGCCAAAGGGAAACAACGGAACATGTATACACCAGGGTCCCGTATACGCCAGAGTCCGCGTTCCTGTGCGAATTTCAGCGCAGGGTCGGGAAAAGCCCCGGTTCATAGAGTCCGTTTCCCTACTCCTGCGCTTCAGTCCCACGGGGGCTGATGCCTGCTTGAGCCCACGTCTCCAGGGAGCTGTGACTCGGGCGCCCTCGCCCGCAGCGCCGCCGCGCCGCCGCCCGCGCGGCCGCGCGCCGGAGCGGGCCACACGGAGGGGGACCTTTCGCCGGAGGGACCTCTGGTGCGGGCCCAGATGCCCCCCCCCGTTCCCCCGAGTGCTTCTATAATAGGCTTAAGTCGGGCCTGCCCCTCGATAGGAGGAATGTCCAAAAATAACCAAAACATAGTCTGGGGACCATTTCTTGAGTATTTGTTGACCTTTGGGAAAATGTTTTGGGGTATCGCTTATTTTTCGTCGAACCTCCCCCCTGTAGGGGGACCTTTCGCCGGAGGGGCTTTTGGTGCGGGCCTAGATGCCCCCCCCCCCGTTCCCCCGATTGGCACGAACGACATGGGTACGGAAAGAATGGGTCAATGCCCAACAGCAGTTCCTGTTCATTCTGAGCAGGACTCGCTGTCGGTGTCGCCGCGGCCTGTGTCCATTTGAGACAGAAGGCCGCCTGCCCAACAGCGGCCGCTGTTGGTTTGGGACAACATTTGTTGTTGGGCATTGTACCCATTCTTTCCGTACCCATTTCGGGCGTCCAAGCCCGAGTATTTCTAGGCATCTTCGATGGGGTCCGAGTAGATGGGGTCGGAGGATCGCACCGCATCGCCGGTGCATCGACGATGCGGCTCGATGTTTCTCCGCGCCGACGTCGCCGATGCATCGCCAACGTCGCCAGTGCATCGCCGACGCATCGCCGACACATCGCCGATGCATCGGCGATGCGGCGCTACAGCCAAGACGCTGAAATAAGGATCTGTTTGGATTCGGAAGGGGCTCGATGTTCCTTACGTCCTGCCGCGGTTGTTCCTCTAGTCCTTCTCGTGCACCCAGGCCTTCTTCGAGCCACAGAGGGGCTTCGTTCCGTATTTAGCGTTCCTTACTTCAGCAGCCCAATTGTAGCCAGTGTTCTTCGTGCTTGTTGGATGTTCTTGTGCATCCCGGGGAGGGTCCCCCTGGGTGCCTCGTATGTTTTGGCAAGCGGAGGGTCTCATCTTCTCGCGGAGAAAGTCCTTGTGTCCTACAGGCCCGACCGTGCCCAGACATGCTCGGAGGATTTTCGCCATGTTCGGCCTCTGGGGGCCCTCACCAGGCCCCTTACTTCAGCAGCCCAAATGTATCCTCTGACCCACTCGTTACTCAGACCCCATCTATAGGACGCCTCCCGTGCTGGCCTGCGCGCGTGGCTCTGGCCCGACGCTTCCTCCTCCTCCTCCTCATCCTCATCATCCTCCTCCGCTTCCTCCTCCTCCTCCTCCTCTCCCCCCCTCCTCCCCCCCCTCCTCCTCCTCCGCCTCCTCCTCCCCTCCTCCTCCTCCTCCTCCTCCTCCTCCTCTTCCTCCTCCTCCTCCTCCTCCTCCTCCTTCCTCCTCCTCCTCCTCCTCCTCCTCCTCCTCCTCCTCCTCCTCCTCCTCCTCCTCCTCCCCGCCCTCTTCCTCCTCCTCTCTAGGAGGCCTCCGGCGCTGGTCTGCGCGCGTGGCCCTGGCCCGAGCGCGAACAGCCCGAAGGCCGCGCACCGGAGGCCACCCGTGCGCCCAGCTGCCGCCGCCGCCGCCGTCGTCGTCGTCGCCGTCGTCGCCGTTGTCGCCGTCGTCGTCGTTGTCGTCGCCGTCGTCGCCGTCGTCGCCGTCGTCGCCGTCGTCGTCGTCGCCGTCGCCGTCGTCGTCGTCGTCGTCGTCGTCGCCGTGGTCGTCGTCGTCGTGGTCGTCGTGGTCCGAGGTCCTGCGGGAGTTCGGGCACATGACGGCGGAGGAGTCCTGGGAGGAAACGCCACCCAGACCAGACAAGCGGCGTTTGCTGAGATGCCCTGGGCGTTTCCTGAACAGCCCTGCCCTGTGTCATTCCTTCTCGGGGCGCGGTTGCTACACGACTTCGCGTGGAGCTTCGGGGTGGGATTTCTGCCTTCCCAGGAGGTCCGCCTCGCCGCGCCCTCCACGCTGCAGCACTCCGCGCGGCGGGTGCTGGCCATCGCGCTCGCCGCCCGGGGGCACGC